GTTTTTCATCGGTTGAACTTGGTCAAATTTTGTCAAAATGCTTTCTTTAATCGAACTCAGTCGAAACGTCTTTCCTTTGGTCGAATTCAGTCGCATTGTTTTTCATCGGTTGAACTTGGTCAAACTCTGCCAAAATGTTTTCTTAAATCGAACTCAGTCGAAACGTGTTTCATCGGTCAAAATCTGTCGAAAAGTTCTTCCTCGGTCAAATTCAGTCGAAACGTTTCCTTGGTCAAACTCAGTCGAAATGCTTTCTTTAATCGAACTCAGTCGAAACGTGTTTCCTCGGTCGAACTCTGTCGAAAAGATCTTCCTCGGTCAAATTCAATCGAAACGTTTCCTTTGGTGGAACTCAGTCAAAACGTGTTTCCTTTGGTCGAATTCAGTCGCATTGTTTTTCATCGGTTGAACTTGGTCAAATTTTGTCAAAATGCTTTCTTTAATCGAACTCAGTCGAAACGTCTTTCCTTTGGTCGAATTCAGTCGCATTGTTTTTCATCGGTTGAACTTGGTCAAACTCTGCCAAAATGTGTTCTTAAATCGAACTCAGTCGAAACGTGTTTCATCGGTCAAAATCTGTCGAAAAGTTCTTCCTCGGTCAAATTCAGTCGAAACGTTTTCTTTGGTGGAACTCAGTCAAAACGTGTTTCCTTTGGTCGAATTCAGTCGCATTGTTTTTCATCGGTTGAACTTGATCAAACTTTGTCAAAATGTTTTCTTAAATCGAACTCAGTCGAAACGTGTTTCATCGGTCGAACTCTGTTGAAAAGTTCTTCCTCGGTCAAACTCAGCCGAAACGTTTCCTTGGTCAAACTCAGTCGAAATGTTTTTTTTTGGTCGAACTCCGTTAATACGTGTTTCCTCGGTCGAACTCAGTCGCATTGTTTTTCATCGGTTGAACGTGGTCAAACTCTGCCAAAATGTTTTCCTAAATCGAACTCAGTCGAAACGTGTTTCATCGGTCGAACTCTGTCGAAAAGATCTTCCTCGGTCAAATTCAGTCGAAACGTTTCCTTTGGTGGAACTCAGTCAAAACGTGTTTCCTTTGGTCGAATTCAGTCGCATTGTTTTTCATCGGTTGAACTTGGTCAAACTTTGTCAAAATGCTTTCTTTAATCGAACTCAGTCGAAACGTGTTTCCTTTGGTCGAATTCAGTCGCATTGTTTTTCATCGGTTGAACTTGGTCAAACTCTGACTAAAGTGTTTTCTTAAATCGAACTCAGTCGAAACGTGTTTCATCGGTCGAAATCTGTTGAAAAGTTCTTCCTCGGTCAAACTCAGTCGAAACGTTTCCTTGGTCAAACTCAGTCGAAATGCTTTCTTTAATCGAACTCAGTCGAAACGTGTTTCCTCGGTCGAACTCTGTCGAAAAGATCTTCCTCGGTCAAATTCAGTCGAAACGTTTCCTTTGGTGGAACTCAGTCAAAACGTGTTTCCTTTGGTCGAATTCAGTCGCATTGTTTTTCATCGGTTGAACTTGGTCAAACTTTGTCAAAATGCTTTCTTTAATCGAACTCAGTCGAAACGTGTTTCCTTTGGTCGAATTCAGTCGCATTATTTTTCATCGGTTGAACTTGGTCAAACTCTGCCAAAATGTTTTCTTAAATCGAACTCAGTCGAAACGTGTTTCATCGGTCGAACTCTGTTGAAAAGTTCTTCCTCGGTCAAACTCAGCCGAAACGTTTCCTTGGTCAAACTCAGTCGAAATGTTTTTTTTGGTCGAACTCCGTTAATACGTGTTTCCTCGGTCGAACTCAGTCGCATTGTTTTTCATCGGTTGAACGTGGTCAAACTCTGCCAAAATGTTTTCCTAAATCGAACTCAGTCGAAACGTGTTTCATCGGTCGAACTCTGTCGAAAAGATCTTCCTCGGTCAAATTCAGTCGAAACGTTTCCTTTGGTGGAACTCAGTCAAAACGTGTTTCCTTTGGTCGAATTCAGTCGCATTGTTTTTCATCGGTTGAACTTGGTCAAACTTTGTCAAAATGCTTTCTTTAATCGAACTCAGTCGAAACGTGTTTCCTTTGGTCGAATTCAGTCGCATTGTTTTTCATCGGTTGAACTTGGTCAAACTCTGACTAAAGTGTTTTCTTAAATCGAACTCAGTCGAAACGTGTTTCATCGGTCGAAATCTGTTGAAAAGTTCTTCCTCGGTCAAACTCAGTCGAAACGTTTCCTTGGTCAAACTCAGTCGAAATGCTTTTTTTAATCGAACTCAGTCGAAACGTGTTTCCTCGGTCGAACTCTGTCGAAAAGATCTTCCTCGGTCAAATTCAGTCGAAACGTTTCCTTTGGTGGAACTCAGTCAAAACGTGTTTCCTTTGGTCGAATTCAGTCGCATTGTTTTTCATCGGTTGAACTTGGTCAAACTTTGTCAAAATGCTTTCTTTAATCGAACTCAGTCGAAACGTGTTTCCTTTGGTCGAATTCAGTCGCATTGTTTTTCATCGGTTGAACTTGGTCAAACTCTGCCAAAATGTTTTCTTAAATCGAACTCAGTCGAAACGTGTTTCATCGGTCGAACTCTGTTGAAAAGTTCTTCCTCGTTCAAACTCAGCCGAAACGTTTCCTTGGTCAAACTCAGTCGAAATGTTTTTTTTTTGGTCGAACTCCGTTAATACGTGTTTCCTCGGTCGAACTCAGTCGCATTGTTTTTCATCGGTTGAACGTGGTCAAACTCTGCCAAAATGTTTTACTAAATCGAACTCAGTCGAAACGTGTTTCATCGGTCGAACTCTGTCGAAAAGATCTTCCTCGGTCAAATTCAGTCGAAACGTTTCCTTTGGTGGAACTCAGTCAAAACGTGTTTCCTTTGGTCGAATTCAGTCGCATTGTTTTTCATCGGTTGAACTTGGTCAAACTTTGTCAAAATGTTTTCTTTAATCGAACTCAGTCGAAACGTGTTTCCTTTGGTCGAATTCAGTCGCATTGTTTTTCATCGGTTGAACTTGGTCAAACTCTGACTAAAGTGTTTTCTTAAATCGAACTCAGTCGAAACGTGTTTCATCGGTCGAAATCTGTTGAAAAGTTCTTCCTCGGTCAAACTCAGTCGAAACGTTTCCTTGGTCAAACTCAGTCGAAATGCTTTCTTTAATCGAACTCAGTCGAAACGTGTTTCCTCGGTCGAACTCTGTCGAAAAGATCTTCCTCGGTCAAATTCAATCGAAACGTTTCCTTTGGTGGAACTCAGTCAAAACGTGTTTCCTTTGGTCGAATTCAGTCGCATTGTTTTTCATCGGTTGAACTTGGTCAAATTTTGTCAAAATGCTTTCTTTAATCGAACTCAGTCGAAACGTCTTTCCTTTGGTCGAATTCAGTCGCATTGTTTTTCATCGGTTGAACTTGGTCAAACTCTGCCAAAATGTTTTCTTAAATCGAACTCAGTCGAAACGTGTTTCATCGGTCAAAATCTGTCGAAAAGTTCTTCCTCGGTCAAATTCAGTCGAAATGTTTTCTTTGGTGGAAATCAGTCAAAACGTGTTTCCTTGGTCAAACTCAGTCGAAATGTTTTTTTTTGGTCCAACTCAGTTAAAACGTGTTTCCTCGGTCGAAATCAGTCGCATTGTTTTTCATCGGTTGAACTTGGTCAAACTCTGTCAAAATGTTTTCTTTAATCGAACTCAGTCGAAAAGTGTTTCCTCGTTTGAACTCAGTTGAAATGTTTTTTTTTCTTGAACTTCGTTGAAGTGTTTTTCCTCGGTCGAACTCAGTCAAAAATTTTCATCGGTCGCACTCGTTCAAATCTTTTTTTTTTCAATCGAAGCCCTGCTAGAAACATACGGTCGAAAAGCATAAGACCTTGGTCGGACGGGCGAATGAAACCATGTGTTGGTCGAATCGGTCGAAACATAAACCGCAACGGGTCGAAACATAAGCAATCACTGGGCGTTCTGATACCTGAGATCAAATAATAAACTCTCTGTTTTTCTGCGGCTATCAAGTAAACTATATCCAACAAACAGTTGGAAAAGAGTAAAACAGGACTGAATACTGACTTGTTTTCAGAAAAAGCTTCAACTTTCGATTTTTACAGAAAAATTAGATGCCTTCAAGCTCTTCAAACTTTACCGACAATTCATGATTGACGCTTTTTTTATACAATTAACCCAATTTGAGAAAACAGAATCAATAAGTAAATTTTTCATTTCACCGGAAAACTTCAGAATTTAATTTCCACTTTCGATGCTAGAAATCGATTGCATTTTTTGTCGTTTTCCCAATTTTGCTGATCGATAGTGGAGTTGACACAAGAATTGAACTGAACTTTGAAAAGAAATCAAAAGCCAAACCGCTAAAAATTAAATGTGCCCCTGAACAAACTTCAAGACTTTTCCGAGCAGAAAAATTGAAGAAAAATCATTACGACTCATTTAAGAGTCTGAGTTCTGTGATCGACTCTTAAAAAGTTTTCCAGCATTTTTCGTTCTTTACGATAACATTCCACTGATTAGTTTTGCTATAATTAAAATTAGTAAACCTAACACATCTATAACAATGTTCATCAAGAAATTATTTCATGAAATAGTGGTTATCAGAATAATTAGCGAGTATTACTTAAGACCAGTCGCGTGCACCGAAATTTTTCTAGAGGGAAGGGGGTTCGGTTTTTCGAAAAATTTTGCCTATTTTTTTTTAGGTCGACCAATTTGATTTTCTGAGCTATCCTAAAATAGTATAAAGACCCTAAAGTGCCTAGAAAGGGCGTTTTTAGGCACTTTTTGGATAATTTTGACCAAAAAAATGCGCTTTTTCGAGCGGGCTTTCCCGTCAAATTATTCATATTGGCGCCCAAGGCGCCTTTAGAAAATTGTTGAGGTTGTTCAGCGAAAAAGGGATGTAATCAAGTTATACCAAAGGGGAGCCCTTTCGAAAAATTTGGTAACCAGAATTAAAGAGAGGCGGTGTCAACCCCCCCCCCCCCCCCCCCTCGGCACGCTACTGCTTAAGACGCTCATGAAAATGATATACATAATCTGCATCAATTGAAATGTGTCTACAACAGTGATTTACATATATGTAAAATAAGTACAAACATATGAATTTAATCATTTCAACTAAAAATTATACATCTGAGAGAAATTTAATCACAGAGCACGTTTTGATTTGGGTTTCATCTGCCATAGCTGAGCAATCAAGGCCCAGATGAAGAAACTTTTGCCAATAAGTGTATTCCTTCCAGACTGCAAACATGCAGTCAGATGGGTTTCTTTCTTCGTTACAGTCATCTCTTACAAAAGGTAAAGCTGTGTACATGAACCGATCTTCACATGGAATTTCCAGTTGAAAAAAATTATCATTTTGAAAAGATTTCTGAGCGACCACCTCGAATACAGCTTTACTAGAGGCTCTATTCAAAAAAACAATCAGTTCTGATTTTATTGACCACAGAATTATTCCATTTCCTGATAACAATGAAACGCAATCAATGGATTCAAGTTTATGAACACATTTTTCTATCTTCATAAAACTTTCTTCCACTAAGTTCGCGTAAAAAATAGTTTGTTGTCGTTTTTCAATGAAACACAGCAGCTGTTGCCGTGAACTGCTCATTTTAATTTTTGGGCGTGCTGCGCAATTGAAGCCAAAATTCTCATTGCCTGTGAAAAATATTCTTTTTTCGATTGGGTCCCATGCCGACCAGTAAATATCCTCGCCCCCAAGAGAATATGGCCAAAGAAAGGCCTCGACATTTGGGTAATTACATGAACTTAATTTTCCTCCGTAAAAAAGTTTGGCACTAAGGTCGCTCAACAGAATAAGGATGTTGAAAGAGTTTACCAAATATAATGGAAAAACGTGAGTAACGGAAACGTTTTCCTTGAGCAAGTAGCTACGCTGTGGACTAAAGATGCAGCTTTTATCAAATTCATCCTCTTCTAAATATGACACATTGATTTCACCGCATCCGCTGTCGCAAATTCTGTATAGAGTATCTCTTGAACAACCTGCTACATCGAAAACTGTGTTCTTCTGCAACGTCATATTTCGAGTTGAAGGATCCGCTTGGAAACCATGACTCATTTGATTCTCATGCGAGTTTCGAGACGGCGCTTCATCTTCAATCTCTTCTTCAGTCTCTTCATCGGTAGTTGTCTCATCTTGATCTGATGCAAAATGCGCCTCTTTTTCAAAACAAGATGCTGATCTCTGCGCTTTGCATGAATTACATTCAATGCCCAGGTACAAAAATTGGCGCCAGTTGGCAGATTCTTGCCAGACACCAAACATGTAATCAGATTTTCTTCTCTTTTCTTCATCACAGTCATTACTTATCAATGGTATGACTGTCCAGGAAACATCGCCATCCCGAAAAACCATTTGAAAAAAGCCGCCATTATCTTGAAAATTTTTTGATCGACCATTTCAAATTCCGTCTCAACGCAGTATTTGGGACTTGTGTTCAACACAATAACTGAATTTCCTTCTGTTGACCACAATACTAGTCTGTATTCTGACAAAAATGAAACGCAATCAATTGTATTTAAGGTGTGCTGACTTTTTTCTATCTCGTCGACTACTTGATTTCCCAAATTGACGAGAAACAATTTTTGGCACCCTTCTTCAAAGAAGCCCAACTGCAGCTGGCAAGAACTGCTCATACTGATTTTGGGACACTCTGAGCAAGTGACGTGAAAACTTTCGTGACTGGTGAAAACTATTTTTGTTTCTGATGGATCCCAGGCCGACCAATGGATTGTATGGCCATCAAGGCTGTAAGGCCATAGAAAAAAATCAACATCCGGATAACAAGAGGAGCTCATTTTGCCATCACACCATGTTTTTGCGATTCGGTGGGTGAACAGGATAAGGATATTGAAGCCATTGACTAAATAAATTGGAAACACGTGCGTGACGCAATTGTTTTCGCTCAAAGTATAGTTACGTTCAGCACTAACTATACTTTTGTTGCTGCATTCAGATTCCTCGATATATAACACTTTGATTCTGCCAAGACCAAGGTCACATACCCTGTACAAGGTTTCTCTTGAACGTCCTGCTACATTGAAATATGTGAGTTTCTGTGAAATTGAAATTCTACTAATAAGGTCTAGTTTGAACCGGTTAAACATTTGAACCAGCGATTCATTCGACAACAGTTCGGTATTACGGTCCTGAATGAGCATGGATTCTTCATGGGTTTTGTCATACGTTTCGACTTCTTGCAAAACAGTTTTGTAATTTTGAATCAACTCGGCGTTTGATTGGCTGAGCAGATCTCGAACACGCTGCTGAGTGTTGTTTAGTTTTTCGCAAAAATTTGCTAACTTTCTGTTTCGTTCGTAATTGACCTTCGAAGTATTTTTGATTTCTGGCACAAGACTTTCTTGTAGATTTTTGCACTCGTGTTCTAGGTTTCTACTCAAAGCTTCTCCTTCGTCTAAGTTTTGTTGGACTGTGTTTGACATTGCTTCTTTTTTAAGCCGCAGAGGTTTTTCTTTCAACTCTAAAGATGTCAAGGTTTCAAACACTTGAGCTTTAACTATGGCAGCTTTTTCCTCCATTGGTTGAAATGTATGCTGACTATGCTTTGTCAGACATTTGCAGCATAACGGAACATCACAAGTGTGGCAGTATTCGAGGCACGGCAAGGCATGTTGGGGGCACGCAAAAGGCTCCTTACCTTTAGAGTCGATTACAGAATGCTGTTTCCGGATGTGTGGAAAAACACATATTTCGCAGAAGATTTCTGGGGTCGATCCTTTTTCCAGGTCGGATGAACACGTTTCACATCGGTATAAAGAGACGGGAGGTATAGTTGATAAACACATGGAGCACTCGGAGACAGACATTAGTTAATAAAGTTATCGCAGCAGCTTTTATTCAAAACAAAACTTTCGTATGAAAGGAGGCTGAATAGAAGTTCGCCAATCTAAGAGTCGCAATTAGTAAAAACATAGATTGCTTAAGATTGATAACCAACTTCCTAGTTGCCCGTCTTTTCCTCCCTTAGTACGATTAAAGAATTCGCATGCCCAAAACTAACCATGAATAGAAGAGAACTTCTAAAAAATTTTGTTTTCCATATACGGTAAACTTCTTGTCATAAAGTTCCATAGAATTCCATACGTAAGAAATATATGAAACCTTTCTGATAATTCAATTTCAATACATAAGAAATGTAGGACTAGCGTTTTTCCATAAATCAAAAAATGTTATGAAAACACGAAAAACAAAGAGTTCTCTGTCATAAGAAACCCATTGGTTGAGGGGAAGAAATCTCACAGATAGTCGGGATGTTTATATTATTTGTATGAAGTGATATTTGATAATTCGTTCAGAACTATGAGAAAACCGTTAAATTTCAAGTATGGCTAGAAAAATTTTAGCCAAAAAACTTTCCACTTGAATAGCGTGTCCTGATTTTTTTCAGCATTTTAAACCATATCTTAGCGAATAAAAGCAACAAAATTCAACTTTGGATTTGCGCAGCAAGAAAATTCAATTTTGTTTAATTTCTATAAACAATTCAATGTGGTCTACGTTATAGACAAAAATCCTAAGTAAAAACTGAAACAAGTTTTTCCCTGATAGCTGGATTTTTACACTGAATTTTCTTGAGCTATGTAAAAATTGCTTATCAAACAGTTTTAATGAACGGAAATTGTATGATAAGTGTTTTTTCTATAAACTCTGTGCATGCCATTGTATGATGAGCGTTTTTTTTTGTATCGAAACTGCATAACAAGTATTCCAACAAACCAGCAAGCTAGATAGACTTCTGTATCACAGTGAAGCCCAGAGAGTTCCACCTACCGTTTCACATGTCTGATGTCGCAAATGTTTTACAAAATAAATTTATCAAAGTAAGTGAAAACTGATAATTTTTTGTTCATTTATGCAATATTTGGGTCAGAGAGCAGGCCTCTTGTGATTAAGGAATGTTTTATGATCCGGATTTAAGATCTGCCTTTGCGCTAAGCAATAAAAGATATCTGGCAATTAAAAAAAAAACAAATTGGCAATTCTCAAAACCCAATAACTTTATCCAAGCTTAACAAAAAAACTACTTCGAAAAAAAACACAAACCCGCGCTTAAAAATTCAGTAATTTTCTTCAAAAAATGGGAAAAAGACGATGAAACTATATCAAAATCAGTAATTTCACAAATGAATGGTTGAATAATGGATTTGTCGCTGTTAAAAGGGTGAATTCACATAGGTTCCAATATTCGTAGCTCCCAGAATAAAAAATCTGTCAAATAAGTCCCAAAATTTATCTTATTGAAATCTGATTGGTTGAAATTTGAGCCAACGAATTTCTGGATTGATTGTATACTGTTCAAGCAGCATAACTTCAAGCTGCAGAATAGTGACTGCCGCAGCTGCGCCAACGTGTTGCGAGCTTGCCACCAAAGGGTAAGACTCTATACGAAATTTAGAGCCGGTTATCGCCGCAAAGCGGCGACGCGCGCATAGCGCGCCCACCGGCCATCTTAAACCGAGACTCGGCTAATTTAGTCTTTTGACCAATTGAAAAGATTTGGGACTTATGCGACTGCCTTTTTTATTATGGAACTTATGGGACTGATTTTTCATTTTGGGACCTATGAATACGCAACGATAAAATAAATGTTTCAGAGTTGAGTTGTTGAAGTGCCTATAGAGTTAACTCAACATGTGTAAAATAAAAACTGAATTTGTTGAGCTAGCAAAACTTAGCTTCAAGAATAAACAATGGTTATATAGGTGCTAGGGATTTTAGCAGACCGGTTTTTTAGCAGACCAGTTTTTTTTAGCAGACTCAGAACAATTATAAAGTGTGCTGGCTAACTTCAAACGCGGCATTGGCGATTAGCGATCGCTTGCTCCGCTGCGCTTCAATTCATCACGAGTGTTATTGTGCGCGTAAATATTTGTTTTGCCGCTAACTTAGACTGTTGTGTTCTTGAAGTTAATAGTTTTGTTAGAAAATCCTGAGATAATTGACTTAATTGAGGAAGCTTGGCCCCAGTCTGAGTGTCTGTTTGAGTCTCTCAATCAATCATGCATCACGTTATAACGTTGATCTGCTAAAAGACTGATTTTTCACTTTTCATGCTAAGCGATTGGTCTGCTAAACGATCGGTCCCCGGTTATATAGCTCGTTTTGCTGGCAGTGTTTAAACAAGTCAGCTGGCGTCGTTTTCATTAAAAAAACGGATCGATTTGAATTGATCTATCTTAATTTGAACTAAAAATAACATATTTTATACCGTTCATCGATTCAAGATTCATATTCCATTTTTATATCGTTTATCTTTATCATAACAGCATCAGTCAAGAATCGTTCATGTGGAATTAAATCAAGCTACTTAACCAAAATAACTTTCAGAAGAAAAAAAAACAGTTGTCGGTTTGAAACTACAAGGGCCATATGATTTAAAAGAAACTATGTTTTATCAGCGCATAAATTCGCTACTGAGCACGACCTCAATTTTAGGTGCGGAGAGATCCGTCTCCAATTCAAATTTTGTGACGTCCAAAAGCTTCTACTTACCAAATCAATTTTTGGTCGAATAACCATGAAATTTTTCTAAAGACATCTATGGCTCTTATATAATCCAAATTTGAAGGCGAGAGAACAAAAATGTGAAGTTGCGTTATTTTCCACCCGCTTGTTGTTATACTGGGTCAGCGAGTGAATTGAAGATACTACGATACAATCACGCATTCACGTAAAACACCTAAAAGGTGGCAATGTGTCTGCTAACTACTTCACAAAACATGCATTCACGAGAAACACCTAAAAGGTGGCAATGTGTCTGCTAACTACTTCATAAAACATGCATTCACGAGAAACACCTAAAAGGTGGCAATGTGTCTGCTAACTACTTCACAAAACATGCATTCACGAGAAACACCTAAAAGGTGGCAATGTGTCTGCTAACTACTTCATAAAACATGCATTCACGAGAAACACCTAAAAGGTGGCAATGTGTCTGCTAACTACTTCACAAAACATGCATTCACGTAAAACATCTAAAAGGTGGCAATGTGTCTGCTAACTACTTCACAAAACATGCATTCACGAGAAACACCTAAAAGGTGGCATTGTGTCTGCTAACTACTTCACAAAACATGCATTCACGTAAAACATCTAAAAGGTGGCAATGTGTCTGCTAACTACTTCACAAAACATGCATTCACGAGAAACACCTAAAAGGTGGCAATGTGTCTGCTAACTACTTCATAAAACATGCATTCACGAGAAACACCTAAAAGGTGGCAATGTGTCTGCTAACTACTTCACAAAACATGCATTCACGAGAAACGCCTAAAAGGTGGCAATGTGTCTGCTAACTACTTCATAAAACATGCATTCACGAGAAACACCTAAAAGGTGGCAATGTGTCTGCTAACTACTTCACAAAACATGCATTCACGTAAAACATCTAAAAGGTGGCAATGTGTCTGCTAACTACTTCACAAAACATGCATTCACGAGAAACACCTAAAAGGTGGCATTGTGTCTGCTAACTACTTCACAAAACATGCATTCACGAGAAACACCTAAAAGGTGGCAATGTGTCTGCTAACTACTTCATAAAACATGCATTCACGAGAAACACCTAAAAGGTGGCAATGTGTCTGCTAACTACTTCACAAAACATGCATTCACGAGAAACACCTAAAAGGTGGCAATGTGTCTGCTAACTACTTCATAAAACATGCATTCACGAGAAACACCTAAAAGGTGGCAATGTGTCTGCTAACTACTTCACAAAACATGCATTCACGTAAAACATCTAAAAGGTGGCAATGTGTCTGCTAACTACTTCACAAAACATGCATTCACGAGAAACACCTAAAAGGTGGCATTGTGTCTGCTAACTACTTCACAAAACATGCATTCACGTAAAACATCTAAAAGGTGGCAATGTGTCTGCTAACTACTTCACAAAACATGCATTCACGAGAAACACCTAAAAGGTGGCAATGTGTCTGCTAACTACTTCATAAAACATGCATTCACGAGAAACACCTAAAAGGTGGCAATGTGTCTGCTAACTACTTCACAAAACATGCATTCACGAGAAACACCTAAAAGGTGGCAATGTGTCTGCTAACTACTTCATAAAACATGCATTCACGAGAAACACCTAAAAGGTGGCAATGTGTCTGCTAACTACTTCACAAAACATGCATTCACGTAAAACATCTAAAAGGTGGCAATGTGTCTGCTAACTACTTCACAAAACATGCATTCACGAGAAACACCTAAAAGGTGGCATTGTGTCTGCTAACTACTTCACAAAACATGCATTCACGAGAAACACCTAAAAGGTGGCAATGTGTCTGCTAACTACTTCACAAAACATGCATTCACAGGAAACACCTAAAAGGTGGCAATGTGTCTGCTAACTACTTCACAAAACATGCATTCACGAGAAACACCTAAAAGGTGGCAATGTGTCTGCTAAATACTTCACAAAACAAGCATTCACGAGAAACACCTAAAAGGTGGCAATGTGTCTGCCAACTACTTCACAAAACATGCATTCACGAGAAACACCTAAAAGGTGGCAATGGGTCTGCTAACTACTTCACAAAACATGCATTCACGAGAAACACCTAAAAGGTGGCAATGTGTCTGCTAACTACTTCACAAAACATGCATTCACGTAAAACATCTAAAAGGTGGCAATGTGTCTGCTAACTACTTCACAAAACACGCATTCACGTAAAACACCTAAAAGGTGGCAATGTGTCTGCTAACTACTTCACAAAACATGCATTCACGTAAAACACCTAAAAAGTGGCAATGTGTCTGCTAACTACTTCACAAAACATGCTCTAACGAGAAACGCCTAAAAGGGGGCAATGTGTCTGCTAACTACTTCACAAAACATGCATTCACGTAAAACACCTAAAAGGTGGCAATGTGTCTGCTAACTACTTCATAAAACATGCATTCACGAGAAACACCTAAAAGGTGGCAATGTGTCTGCTAACTACTTCACAAAACATGCATTCACGTAAAACATCTAAAAGGTGGCAATGTGTCTGCTAACTACTTCACAAAACATGCATTCACGAGAAACACCTAAAAGGTGGCAATGTGTCTGCTAACTACTTCATAAAACATGCATTCACGAGAAACACCTAAAAGGTGGCAATGTGTCTGATAACTACTTCACAAAACATGCATTCACGAGAAACACCTAAAAGGTGGCAATGTGTCTGCTAACTACTTCATAAAACATGCATTCACGAGAAACACCTAAAAGGTGGCAATGTGTCTGCTAACTACTTCACAAAACATGCATTCACGTAAAACATCTAAAAGGTGGCAATGTGTCTGCTAACTACTTCACAAAACATGCATTCACGAGAAACACCTAAAAGGTGGCATTGTGTCTGCTAACTACTTCACCAAAAATGCATTCACGAGAAACACCTAAAAGGTGGCAATGTGTCTGCTAACTACTTCACAAAACATGCATTCACAGGAAACACCTAAAAGGTGGCAATGTGTCTGCTAACTACTTCACAAAACATGCATTCACGAGAAACACCTAAAAGGTGGCAATGTGTCTGCTAAATACTTCACAAAACAAGCATTCACGAGAAACACCTAAAAGGTGGCAATGTGTCTGCCAACTACTTCACAAAACATGCATTCACGAGAAACACCTAAAAGGTGGCAATGGGTCTGCTAACTACTTCACAAAACATGCATTCACGTAAAACACCTAAAAGGTGGCAATGTGTCTGCTAACTACTTCACAAAACATGCATTCACGAGAAACACCTAAAAGGTGGCAATGTGTCTGCTAACTACTTCACAAAACACGCATTCACGTAAAATACCTAAGAGGTGGCAATGTGTCTGCTAACTACTTCACAAAACATGCAATCACGAGAAACACCTAAAAGGTGGCAATGTGTCTGCGAACTACGTCACAAAACATGCATTCACGTAAAACACCTAAAAGGTGGCAATGTGTCTGCTAACTACTTCACAAAACATGCATTAACGTAAAATAGCTAAAAGTTGGCAATGTGTCTAATAACTACTTCACAAAACATGCATTCACGAGAAACACCTAAAAGGTGGCAATGTGTCTGCTAACTACTTCACAAAACACGCATTCACGTAAAATAGCTAAAAGGTGGCAATGTGTCTGCTAACTACTTCACAAAACA